AGAGGCTGAGAGAGAGAGTACAGAGGGCAAAGCACTTGCCTTGTACATGGCTGATCGGGGTTCAGTCCCCAGCTTCTCATATTGTCCCCTGCACACAGCCAGGAGTAATTCCTGAGTGCAGAGCCAGGAGTAAACATTAAGCATTGCTGGCCCCAGAACAAACAAACAAACAAACAAACAAAATGCAATCCATTTGAACAGTTATTAAGAGCTGAATTTTTCATCCCCAATAATATTTAGGACTAAAATTTTCATTTTAATCTATCACAAGGTTTCACAAAACATTGGCTACTTTCTATATGTATGATACACTGTAATGTTTTTAATTGTATATCATTTTTTAAAATGTTGAACTTGAACCACTAAATTGATTTCACAATCCATTAATAGGATATGACCTTCACTTAGAAAAACATTGACTTAGGTTCAACCAATGAGAAACTGAAGAATGAGGAAGCAGGGCTGCTTACATTCTTAAGGAAAGTGACTGGAAGTAATTTTTATAATTTTGTCCAAGTTAATAATTGATATATAAATTATCTGTCACTGTCACTGTACTCCCGTTGTTCATCAATTTGCTTGAGACTTTTTAATTTTTTTCATGTCTTTATTGCTGATTCCCCTCCACCCCCACTGACATAGCCATTTTATTTGGTCAGGCTCTTGAATTTAATGCTGGTTTTGTGGGCAGTATTTGTTTGAAATTATTAGGTGAAATATCATCTTCAATCAACAGGACTAATGAAAATTAGACCAAGACTGCCATGGGGTGAAAAGGCAGCTGAAAGCTAAAGAAGAACTACAAACAGGTTAACTTTATTAATATAAACCAAGATTTAGTAAAAAAATCTTACTATTTTTTGTTTTGGACCAAACTTCATTGCGCCAATCTCCCAATATTAAAGGCTGTTAACTGGTCATTAACCAGTCACATACAGTCAAGAAACTGCCTCAGAGCATAAGACAACAAGCAATCTATTTGCTTCTCTGTATTCTTTAAAACTGTTAAACACACACGTATAAAATGGACAATGCGTATATAATACAAAACAAATGTTTTCAGAGGTAGGACAATAATTTACAATTGTAATGGTATCCAGTAGGATTTTACACCAAGAGAATTCAATAACCAAAAGAATTTCATAAAAAATACCTGATTCTTCAGTAAATGACAGAAATAATAAAAGTAAATTCTGCATAGACTATATCTTAAACTTTTAACTTTATGATTTATTTTTAATTCTTCTTAAATAGCAAAATACCCAAAAAAAGAATTAAAGAGTTCCATGAAAAAAAAAACTAACAATAACAAAGTATAAGGACAAAAAGTTTGAGGTATTGGCAAGGTATATTTAATTACCAAGAAGTAAATGTATTTCTTCACATCAAAATCAATCCATTAAAAAATTTAATTCTCATTCCACTTTTTCATTAAAAATGCCATGGCATCAATGGGAGGAATTTTTTTAGTGAAGCAAAATGATTTTTATTGAAAGAAATTTTGAGAGAGAGAAGTGAGGGACAAGAGTAGTACATGTTCAAGAGAGAACACAGGCTTCTCCAGAGGGGAAAAGTCCTGAAAGCACTGATTTTAAATAAAGTAAATCTCACAGATGCTATTATGCTGTAGAAAGACTTTCTTGTCCATCAAGGAATCGACTTGTACTTATCTAAACTATACTACAATGTAATGTTCTCAGTAGGTACAGCTTTAGTTACAGTTGAATAGAGTTCCTGGAAACCCCATTAACTGTTCCACTATTTACTCTACACCAACAATGGCAGCTGGTACACTTATGGCCGGTGAGCATGCCTCCTTCCTCCTTCTTCCACTACATATGACCAGAAGGCCTTTCTCCCTTTGGTCTAATTTTTCACAGTACATGTCAAATTTTTATTTAACTTCTTGATGTCTTATCATGTACTATGGATTTTACTTTTTAGTTAAAACTGTATTTTCAGGGCCAGAGAAAGATAATAAAGGGGATAAAGGCACATGTCTAGCACTCAAGCAACCTGGGTTGGATCCCTGGCACTGCATATGGCCCTCTGCTTCCTGCCAGGGATAATTCCTGAACACAGAACCAGGAGTTTAGCCCTGAGCTTTATCAATTGTGGTCCAACATCCCCCCCCCCCCCCCCAACCCTCTCCCAGGGTATTTTCAAAGAAAGAAGACCACAAACATCTCAAAAATAAATTACAAGTATGTCATACAAGTCAGCTAGGTAGCTCACTTGAGACTAAGCATTGCCTGCTGATCCTATTTTTATCAACAATACAATAAAAAATAATCCCCACAAATATAGTTAATTCAGGATCCTAATTCCCATTTCCAGAATTAGAATAGTCACAATACCTGCAGCTCCAAACACTCCAATTTTCTAGTTTCACCAAAGTTGACACACCTGCTGAGCTAGAAAGTTCCACCTTAGCTTTTTGATATTTGATTAAAAACAAAAACAAAAACAAAACACCCTTTTTTTCACTTAAGCGAACAAAATCAATGGCACAGTACTGAGCTTCTGCTCGGCAGCGCAGAGCAGTGGGGTTGCTACAGCAACTCCTGTACACTGACCATAGACGGTCTGTTTAAGAAGGAAACAGTCTGCTCCACCCCCCCCCCCACCCCCCCAGGAGTCAAAGGCTAGGAGAGTTGCAATCTGCGAGCAGTCACATTTTTACCTCAGTAGCTGTGATGGAACAATAAGGGACCTTTATTGTCTCCCCATAATAAATGTCGTTCCAAGAACCCCAAACCACATTGCTATGTAGGGTAAGCCTGAACATTTATTGAGTCTTTACTCAGTGCTAACCCTTCTGCTGGGGGCTTTGGCATGTTATTTTATTTACTCCTCACAACAACCCCATGAAGTAAGTGGTACTGTAAGTGGTACTATATATATAGTTCACACTTTACAGATAAGAAGCTTTAGAAAGTTATTCTATTGTCCAAGGAACTAGATGGCAGAGTCAGAATTTGATTCTGATTCTGAGGTTTTTTAATTATTATTATTATTACTAATAAACTGACTTTAAAAGCAAGTTTTCAATTTTTTTATTTTGAGGTTGGTGGGGGTAGGAGGCCTTGGGGACACTCCCAGAGATACTCAGCCAACAAGGGTGGACAGTTCAATGCTGGTAATATGATGTCACTGGGCTCAGATGTACTGGGTGACCAACTACTGGTGTTCAGGAGCCATAAGGTGCTAATGACTGAACTGGGGTCCTTGTGCATCTAAGGTGTGACCCCTGATGCCTAAGTTATGTCCTGGGACTGCCAATTTTCAATCCTTTTGTTGTTGTTGCTGCTTGGGCTACCACCATTGATGTTTAGGGCTTAATCTTGGCTCTGCACTCAGGGATCGCTCCTGGCAATGCTCAGGGTACCATATGGAATACAGGCATTGAACCTAGGTTGGCTATGTGCAAGACAAGTACCCTCCCCATTGTATTATCACTCTGGTCCAATTTTCAATTCTTAACTGAAAAGTTCAAGCATTTCTAAATTGATTTCAATTCTATTTTTTAATATTTTTTCACAAGCAACAATTTATTATTGATAATTCAGCTACCTTTCTAAGTGCATAGAAAACAAAGACAGACAGGACCGCTTGAAGGTCTTGGTGAGTTTTTGTTGAGTAGAAACTCCACATCTCATCTTCTAGTGGAGTGAAGACAAAGTGGAGGGCTGGAAAGATAACTCAACAGGCTGGAGTGCATGCTTTGCATGCAGGAGGCCTAGGTTTGAAGCTCAGCACTGCATGGTCCCTGCAGCACTGCTAAGAGCAACCTCTTGGAATGTTTAAGGAGCTCAAAGAAACAATGGAACAGACCACCAGATTTCATCCCTGGCACTGTATGATTTCCCTGAGTACTACTGGGAGTGGCCCTAAGCACAGAGCTGGGAGTAGCCTGAGTACTGCTAGAGTATGTGCCCTCTACCCCCAATTTTTTTCCTTATAACTTCCTCAAGTCCTGCCCTAAGAATTCTTTCATATCTACAGCTTGAACATTCCCCTAATTGTGGATTCAGGAAATTCAGTAAGAATATAAAGAAACAAAGAGATTACACAACCCCAAATGAAAATAAATTCAGACATAATCAATATAATCAACTGAGGCAGCTAAGGGTGGGGGAGAGAGGCAGAGAGGGAAGGGGCAGTGGGAGGAAAGTGGAAGGATTTTACAACCACTGGTGAAAGGATTGGTGTCGTATCTCTGCAACTACACACAATGACTTCAACACCACTGTAACTATGGCATTGCAAATAAAAAGAGGTGGGGGATTGGAGAGATGGTACAATGGATAAGGCACTTACTTTGCATACTGCTGACCCCAATTTGACCCGACTCTGTATATGGTCTCCTGAGCACTGAAAGGACTGACCTCTGTGCATGGGTGTGCTCCCCCAACCCTCCTCAAACCAACGAATGTGGCTCACAATTTAAAACCATTTAATTCCTTTTGGAGAGGGGTCCACATGGCTGCATGGCACCCCCTAGAACATTTTTAAAAATTGTTTGGGCTTCTCCTGATGCTGAGTGGCCAATAGAGCTACATCTAGAGGTGCTTGGGGAAGTCAGGTGCAGCAGTGATCAAACTCAAGGCCTTATGCATGCTAGGGCTATATTCCTGGTTCCATACATTGCTTTGTTTTTTTGTTTGGCCCACACCCAACTGTTCTCAGGGCTTGCTCCTAGCTCTGTGCTTAGAGAACACTTCTCCTCTCCCCCGCCCTCCACACACAGACACACACACCTGATGATGGCTTGGGAGACCATGAGTGGTGCCAGGGATTGAACCCAGGTCAGTTGTATGTAAGGTTAGAAGCCTACCTGCTGTACTATCTCTTTGGCCCCTATATATTTGTTTTTAAAGTTACAAGTCTGCTAAATAAAAAAGTGAAATGGTACTTGTACTCTAATTTTACTCAATCATCAATCCAGTATACATTCAGAGTTTTAGTTTAAAATATCTGTAAAGTGAACAATGATCCTAAAGTATGAGATTAGGCATTTTAAGTCAATAAGAAAAACAAAAATGCAATCATTTATTATTTGGAACTCTAAGGAGATAATTAGGCATTAATTTTAAAATACTACAACTTAGCACTTTATAAAAGCTAAAAACATAATTCAAAATTTCATAAAGGTATATTAAATTAAGTCAAAGTATCAGAGACTGAAAGAATTTCAAGATTGGCAGCATTCATTTAAGGTGACAGCTTTGTGAATGTTTTACTGTTCCCACATGATATCATCTCTTCTTAATTTCATTTGAAGATTTTGGACTCGTACTGGATGAGAGTTCTTCTGAGGAGAGTTAGTTAATGAGCATTTTCTAGGGTTAAATTTAATGTTCTTTGATCCTTTAGGGTTATTATCTTCTTGTTGAGTATCAGAAGTTGTAATCATCATTGAATTCTGAACTTTTTGCTGTAGTTTATGGACCTGGTGAGGACCAAAAAAAAAAAATCAACATTTTAGTTGATTAGGCTACACTAAAATGTATACTAAAGTGAATATATATAGAAATATATACATATATTATATCGCTTAATTTGTTAGATTTTACTTATTCAACACCTCTCATAAGCTTAACACTGCACTGGTTAGGTAGAAATATAATGAATAAAATAATCCTTGCAGTAAAGGAATTTATTAGTGAAATAAAAGCATATATTTAACAACTAGAGAGTAAGTCAGGCCAGGATAACTTTGAGTTGAACCAAAAAAAAAAAGTATTTGAGAAGGTCAAAGTAGGGCCTGATCACTGTGAGAAAAGAAAAGTGAGCTATGAGTAAAAATTTGGAACAGGAGAAAAAAGGACCTATCAGGCAGTATTTTACATCTGTCTACATAAACACACTCTTAAGTATGAAAAGTAAAAAGTCAAGAGAGTAATTCTGTATTATTGAAGAATATCTGATAATAGCTGGATAAGCAGAATTAAAACAAAACTTATCAGTTACTAATTTAAAAATTAGCAAAATAACTAGTGTTCTATTTTCTGAAAATTTTTTTATTATTTTATTTGCAACAATAAATGCTCAACATTTATACTGGTATAATTATTATAAAATTAGAAATAATATTTCCCAAGATATAAATTTTGTACAGGGTGACTAAGTTTTAAAAATATGACTCTACAACAATTTCTTTCAAGTTTTTTCTAAATGATTCTAAGAGTGTGTCTAAGATATACAATCTTAACCCTAACATAATTATATCAGAAAATTTACTCTATTGTTAAAAATCAATAAAATGAAAATGTCTCGGGCTAGAGGGAATACAGCTGGTAAGGTACTTGCCTTGCATATGCTTGACCCGGGTTCAACTCCCAGCATCACATATAGTCCCCTGAACACTGCCAGGGTAAATCCCTGAGTGCAGGACAGATCCCTGAGAGCAGAGCCCTGAGCACATCTAGGTGTGGCCCAAAATTTGAAAAAAAAAAAAAAAAAGACAGTATTTGCTTTGTAAGTTTCGTAGTTTTATTTTCTTTATTTTTCATAGTAGAATAAGGGTTGCAAAAACACTTCATCCTTTATTAATTTCTTACAAAAGTGGTAGTTTAATTATGAGGTTATGATATCATCAACCTAGAGTTATGCACCAATGGGATGCTGATTTTTCCCTACGCAGAAGGCTTTATGATGGAACTTGAGGGTTCCTGGAAAGACTTCCTCTGCTTTCTGCTCCCAGTATGCAATATTGGTAATAATTCAACCCATGAAGTCATTATCTGGGATTAAAATATTATTATATCCCATGATTCTTTTGTTAAAATATTAATAAAACTGCTAAATCTGTTTTTGCTATCAACAATTCACATGCAAATGTAGAATCTCCTCCCACCCTACTCTATGCCTCTACATATACAGGTCTCTGGGGGACAGAATAGATTGGCTTGTTCTTGGAAAGTGATGATAATGATTTTGGGATTAGGGTTGCTTGAGATGCCAGGTTTATGATGTATGAATATTATGAATTAGTGGACCCTTAACATATGGGACATCATCAAAACATTAGAGAAGGAAAAAGGGAAAAGAAAAAAATACTAAAAGGCAACTTTGGAGGAATAAAAAGGCAAATTTAGGACATGGCTATCATTTTACATTGCGATTTCTGGGAAAGCCAGTTCATATATTACTGAACTTTCTTGCTCCTGTTTTAAAATATCTTTGAGAGTGATGTAGAAGACTATGTAATTCCAATGGGACAGATGGCTCTAGTAATACACTTAAGTGACTTTTATCTATAAACTGTTTACTAACCTACTAACGGCACATACAAACTTCAAACTTGGAAGGTCAGACAGAAATCTAACACTAAATTTAGATATATTTGTATTAAAATTTGAATAAAGCGTTCTTACACTCTTTTGATGCTTCATCAATTTGGAAATCTGTTCTCCTTTAATTTCCATTTTCTTAACTAAATATTCCAGTTTACCTCCAATGTCTTCACAGACTGAAGGGTTTTTAGTTTCCTTCATTTGTTTCCATAGTTCTTGATGCTCCCTAAGGAAAAAGAAAATGTCCAGCACTTTGACGGCTTATGGTATCTCTCTGTGCAACAATTAAGGAATATTTTGTTCAATCATAAATCTTAGCCAGAATTAAATATTAATTTTCAAAGACAGTATCTTTATCTAGGGCCATCCATTTAGATGTATAGTAGCTATTAACAGCTTCTTATGATTTGAGATTAACAGACCTAGAAATATCTTAGTCTCTTAAACAGTCCTAATTCTTGCTGTTCCTTGCTAAATGTTAAATATTTCAATGTCTTTAGTTAAAGGCCTAAAAGGATACTCTTTACTTTTAACTTCAAAATTCTTGATGTAGGCTCATTGAAAAAATTTCAGCTGTATAAATATTTATCTCAGACGGGCCACCCCAGGGGGGAAAGGGTGCCATCCCACCGCCTGCTCCCCATTGGCAGCTCGGTGGCCGCCATCTTCCAGAGGTCATTGGACAGTCAGGTTTGGGCCCGCAATGACGAGACACACAGGGCCTCACTGAATGGGGGTGGAGCCAGCCCTTTCCTCCCCGCCCCAATGAGACCCTGATTCGCCGCCCACAAATGGCCTCTCTGGCTCCTGATCAAGTTGCTTAACGATCATGATCCAAGAGACTCAGGAATAAATCTCGGAACTCAGCAGGTTTTGGCAGAAATCCCTCCAGATTTAATTGTTAAAATTTCGGAATTTCAAAATCACGCGGTCACTACTGTGGGTAAAATCCCAAATAATAATGGTGGGTCTGGTGTCAAAATATTGAATGTAATCAAATAGAGAGAGAGTAATGTGGAAATCATTCACCCCACAGGTAGGGGAAGGATGTGGGATGGAGGTATTTGGGGTTTTTGGTAGTGGAGAATGGGCACCTGTGAAGGTATGGGTGTTTCATTGTATGACTGAGACTTAAACTCGAAAACTTTTTAACTGCTCTCACGGTGATTCAATAAATAAAATTATAAAAAATGGGAAAAAAAAAGTTTTTACCTGAGAAATCTGTGGGGTTGGGCACAACCTACCCAGCTGTTACTGAAACTAGTTATACCTTCCATAGAGGTGTTAGTTCAAACAGCTGATCAACCAAATCACATATTTTCTGTTGAGTGCCTTTTTAAACTTTAGGCATAAAATATGCATCCAGCAAAAAATCTTACATAGAAACTTTAAAACTTGAATTGCAGAGACTGGCCAGAGCCTCAAATGAGCTATGTTATTCTGACTTGTCTGACAAAATAGTTTGTTTAAATAAAAGACAAAAAGTAAATGATAAAAATAAAAGAAATTTTCTCGTAAGACTTTGTGAATTTTAATAAATGCGACCAGTCTCTACTGGAATGACAGCAACAATTGTTGCATAACAATTATTAATTAATTAATCTAGGAATACTTAAGTTTCTTAGACTGGGAAATCAATATAGAGTAGAAAACATACAGAGTGCCAATAAGCTCAATTAAAATCATGACAAATATGTATATGAAAGCAAATCTAGGGGCCGGAGCGGTAACTCTCGGGGCTGAAGTGTATTTGTCACATGCAGGAGGTTTGTGTTTGATCCACCTCATGGTTCACTGGGCTCCACCAAGAGTAATCCCTAAGCTCTGAGCTGGGAATAGTCCTTGAGTATTGCGTGGTGTGGCTTATGGGCTTCCTTCACCAAAAGAAAGGAAGCCTACTGTCTAAGGCCTATAAGAATTGATAAGGCAAAAAAGGAAAAAAAGGTACAGGAGGTAAGGTGCTTGCCTTGCATGAAGCTGACCTGGATCAAATCCCCAGCATTGTATGCAATGCCCTGAGCACAGCCAGGGGTCATTCCTGATGACAAGGTGTGGCCCAAAACCAAAAAACAAAACAAACAAACAAAAAAAAAAAACCCAAAATTGTTCAGTGATACTGTTGACATTGTTCTTCAAATTAAAGAAAAAAAGAAATCTAAAATTTTCACTGTTTATTATTATAAAAAATAGAAATACTCACATACTCATTTGGTTCAGCTCATCTTGCATTGCCTTCAAAAGTTCAGACAAGTTGTCACAAATGGAAGTAAATTTTTCTGAGTCAGAAGGTGCAGACGTACATTGGGAAGCTGTCCGGGTAGATTTGTAAAAGTGCTTGGCCTCATTCACAGCAGTGGGTGCAGGGAGGCTATGTGTACGTGGGCGATAATGCTGACTATTCTGCAGGAGGTTTTGTACACCCGCATTCACAGAGTGCAGGTTTGCACAGGCATACTTCAGGAGGGAAAAAATAGGTGAGAATAATTTCAAATAACCGGTGACATTTACAATATAGTAAGATTTACTAAAAACAAGTATTTTCAAAAATACTTCCCTCTTACCTTCTCAGACACAAAAGACTGTGGTCCAGATGTGGAATAAGTTTGCTGAGGTGGTGCTCTCTTTAAACATTTAGTTTTCTATTAGCAAGGGAAAAGATGAACAAAAATTATTTAAATACATTTATTATATAAAGTCATCTCAAAAATAAACTATAAAATAATCCAATTAGAAAACAGGCAATGCAAGGACAGAGATTTTATTGAGGACACATAGATGACAAGTAAACACATGAATGGATATGTGACATCATTGGATTTTAGAAAAATGCACCTATCAAAATGGTCAAAGTAAAAAGTAGCAACATTGCCAAATGTTAGCAAGACTGTCAGAAACTGGAACACTCATACACTGTTGGCAGGAATACAAAATAAAACAACCACTTTGGAAAATAGCTGGGCAATTTCTTGTAAAATTAAATACATACTAATCTATGCACAAATGTTTTTAATAGCTTTATTTGTAGCAGCCCCAAACTGGAAACAACTTAAATCTTTCTTCAGTAGGTAAATTGTTAAACTGATATGTCCATGATATGGAATACTACACAAAATTTTTTAAAACTGTGTTAATACATGCAACAAGTTGGGTAGATTATAAAGAAATCTGGCTGAAGGGGGAATTAAAAGTTATTTTCAAATGGCTATATATTATATGATTCTACTAATATAATTTTGGGTCAATGAGCCAGAAAGAGAACTCAATAGGCAATGCAAGCTTTGCATGTAGATACCCTGATTCAAATCCAGGCACCACATGGTTTCCCCCAAACACTGCCAGGAGCTACCTCCCAAGCATTGAGTCAGTAGACCTAGGGCACTGTTAGGTGTGACCCAAAAATCTAATCAAAGAGAATAAAGCAAAACTGATAAACACACAAATATAAAACTGATGGAAAATAAATAAACTCTGTGCTGTAACAGTCTTAAAATGTTTATTTAAATACTACATTATAACTGGAACAAAGGCAGAACTGCAGACCAATGGAACAGGGTTGAATACACTGACATCTCCCCTCAATCATATGATCATCTAATCTTTGATAAAGGTGCAAGTAATGTGAAGTGAAGTAAGGAATGCCTCTTTAACAAATTGTGCTGGCATCACTGGACGGCTACATGCAAAAAAATGGGCTCAGAACTCTGCCTAATACCATGTACAAAAGTAAGATCAAAATGGATTAGACCTCAACATCAGATCAGAAACCATAAGGTATATTGAAGACAAAGTTGGCAAAACCCTCCATGACATTGAAGCTAATGGTATCTTCAAAGATGCCACGCCACTGTCTGAGCAAGTGAAAACAGAGATAGATAAATGGGACTATCTTAAACTAAGAAGCTTCTGCACCTCCAAAGAAACAGTGACCAAAATACAAAGACAGTCTACAGAATGGGAAAGGATATTCGCCGAATACACATCTGACAAGGGGTTGATATCCAGGATATACAAAATACTGGTTAAACTCCACAAGAAGAAAACATCCAACCTCATCCAAAAATGGGGCAATGAAATGAACAGAAACTTTCTCAAAGAAGAAATCCGAATGGCAAAAAAGCACATGAGAAAAATGCTCTACATCATTAATCATCAGGGAGATGCAGATCAAAACCACAATGAGATACCATCTCACACCTCAGAGACTGGCCCACATTCAAAAGAACAAAAGCAACCGATGCTGGCGCGGATGTGGCGAGAAAGGGACACTCCTTTACTGTTGGTGGGAATGTCGACTGGTTCAGCCCTTCTGGAAAACAGTATGGACGATTCTCAAAAAATTAGAAATTGAGCTCCCATTTGACCCAGCAATACCACTCCTGGGAATATATCCCAGAGAGGCAAAAATGTATAGTCGAAGTGACATCTGCACTTGTTTGTTCATTGCAGCACTCTTTACAATAGCCAGAAACTGGAAGAAACCTGAATGCCCAAGAACAGATGACTGGTTAAAGAAACTTTGGTACATCTACACAATGGAGTACTATGTAGCTGTTAGAAAAGATGAAGTCATAAAATTTACATACAAGTGGTACAACATGGAAAGTATCATGCTAAGCGAAATGAGCCAGAAAGAGAGGGATAGACATAGAAAGATTGCATTCATCTGGGGGACATAAAGTAACAAAATATGAGATTAATACCCAAGAATAGCTGAGATCAGCACCAGGAGGATTACTCCATAGCTTAGTGGCCAGTTGGGCATTCTAGAGGAAAGGGCAGCTCAGATAGAGAAGGGAACACCAAATAAAGGGTGTTTGGAGGATCCTCCCAGGAGGGGAGATGCATATCGAAAGTGGACTATGGACTGAACATGTTTGCCACTCAATGCCTCTTTTGCAGACCACAACACCCAAAAGGAGAGAGAGAACACAGGGGATTGCCTTGCCACAGAGGCAGGGGGGGATGGGGGGATGGGGGTGGGGGGGATATTATCCATGGTGGTGGAAAATGGGCACTGGTGGAGGGATGGGTATCTGATCATTGTATAATCAAACCCAAGCACAAAAAATTGTAAATCTACAACTGTACCTCATGGTGTTTCACTAATAAAAAAAATTTTTAAAAAATAATAAAAAAATACTACATTATATAATGTAAGATGTAAGATATCACCTTTGGGGGAATTTGTTGAAAAATCATGGAACCTCCCTGTATATTTTCCCCTAATTTCCTGTGAATTTATATTTATTTAAAAACAGCAGATGAAAAAGTAAACAAAAAAGATGTTTATGCTATAGATATTAATAACTGCTGATTGGAAAATAAACTGTTGGACATTCTCTTATAAAGTTAAGAATGCATGACTTACAGTTCAGAATATTACAGAAAAAACCCTATATATATATATATATGCACCATGATATATACACAAGAATTTTCACAACAATGCTGTTTCCAATAGCAAAAACCAAGAATTAAACCCAATGTTCACTGAAAGGATAAGCAGTGTGGCATTTCTTTAGAGTAGAAACCTATAGCATTAAAAGACAGTGAATTTCAGATATATACATCAACTGAATCAACTCATAAACTGAAATGCTGAGTAGAAAACTGTAAGTTGTGACTTAGGGGGTAGGTAGTTCTGGCAATGTGATGAATGAATGAGGACACTGAGCTCTGCTTGCTTCCCCCACATGCTCCTTCCTTCCCCTCTCCTCCCCTCCACCCCCAACAGACAGACACAGACACACACAGACTCACACATACACACACACACATACACACACACACACACATTTACCATTTCACTTGTTAATCAAGTAAAATATAAGCCCCGAGCAAAGGTCCTGATGGCTGGAGAAACAGTGCCCTTAAAGCAAGGGGTGGCAGGAGACTTCTGAGAAGGCAGGAACAATTATAAGTAAGATTTTCCCAGGTGCCTCTAGGACATTGTGCTTTGTGAAAAGATGTGCTGGGACTTGGGAGTCTTGACCGTGCAAAAGAGAGCCTTCCTCCACAATAGGGGGACACTCGAAGTAGCACTATGAATCTGTGTGCAGTGGAAGTAGGTAGATAGTCAGAAGAATGCTAGTTAGCAAGCAAACAGCACATGTGCTAGGACTGAGTGGGGAGAGATCCTGTATCTCTGCTGCTAAAGCTTAGGGAGCTGAGGTCATTCATGTGTTTACTCCCAACTTTATAATAATGTTTATAATTTTATAGCCTTTTACTATTAATCTCTTGAAATTATTTTTGGACATGGTAAGATATAAACATTAAAATGGTAAATAAGTACGCATCAATGAGAGTAAAATATTGACATACCTTTGATGATTTCCTCTTTCCCTTGGAGCAATTTGGATTTGATACTGAAGACATTAAAATTCTGTTGACTTCAAGTCCAGTTTGAAGCTGTAACAGTAGGGGTGGGGCGGGGGTGAAAAAAACTTTAAGTGACTTTCCTTGGGGCTAGAAAGATGGTACAGTGGGTACTATGGGCAAGGTGCTTGCCTGGCATGCAACGGACCTGGGTTTGAGCCTTGGCACCCCAAAGAGCCAACCTGGGGCCCTGCTAGGAGTGATCCCCAAGTACTGAGTAAAGAGTGAGCTCTGAACACTGCCAGGTGTGGACTCACCACTCCACTAAATAAATAAATAAATAAATAATTTACCAACCTTCTTTAAAAACTAGTAGTAAAGTGGGTCAGGTGCTTGCCTGGTAGGTGACTCCAGAATGGAGTGTACTACAGCTATTTTTTAAAATACATGAGCAAAGAAGCAAAAATGACCAAAAAAGTAACTAAAGAAAGACAAAACCAAAAATCCAAAATTCAAACTCAGGTCCCCAGAATGTGGTGCTCGTACTTTTACACTCCTTTCCACAGAAAAGAAATACTCCAAATATTCCCTATAGTTAGCACCTGATGAAAATTAATAGTAAGGTAAAAAGGGAGCTGGAGAGATAATACGGTGGGTAAAGATGCTTAAGGCCTTACAGCACCCCCATTCTTGCCCCGCCAGCACCACCACACATGGTCACCTAAGCACTGAGTAAAGAGTTAGGAACTCTGAGTCCTAAAACAAAAACAAAAAGACAAAACACAAACCTCAAAAAAAAAAAAAAGAAAATCAACTCAAAACAAAACCTATTATAACAAGAAATCAGATGGTCTCAGTTTAAAAAGATAAAAATTATTTTTGAGAAAGAAAGAAAATACAATTTTTATGTGAATAAAAGTCACTAAAGTCTATTTACAATTACAATAATGTTCTGCTTATAAGGGAATTGATTATTTAATATATACCATTAAGCCAAAAATCTATACAAGGAGATATTTTAAGTGTGTGAGTGTGTGTGTGTGTGTGTGTGTGTGTGTGTGTGTGTGTGAGAGAGAGAGAGAGAGAGAATTACCAAAGACCTCTTGGTAATAAAGTTAAGTCCAGGAATATATTAGCTGACTTATTATATTGTGTTATACTATATTATACACTATATTACATATCATTACATGTATTATAGCAAAAAAGAGACAAAACTAACAATATAAGAAGCATATTATAGGCTTAAGTTAATTAAAATAAAGTGTAAGAAAAACACATGGGGTTTACTGTGATAGATAATACAGTGCTTTATTTACCTCAGCAGCTTTGTCTTGAATTAGCTTACGGAGATGTCCTTCTTCTGTAAGCTTTTCCTCTAAATATTTAATCTTGTCCTCCAAAGTAATTTAAAAAACAGGATTACATTAAACACTAAACCAAATATCCTTTGTTCCTTTTCCAAATAGAGTCCTTAGGGTATTGATTCTTTTTCCTTGGGCCACACCTGGTGATGCTCAGGAGGAGATACTCCCAGATGTGCTCTGGGGACCATTAAGTGCCAGGCCTCTAACTGGGGCCTGTTTCTCTATCCAGACAGGTGGCATCAAGAGTCTTGATTCTTAATAGTTTGGAAAATTAAGGCAAAAAAATTAAGAAAATGGGATGGCTAAAGATGCTAAGATGCAATTCTATATAAGATGAAAAAAGGGGAAAAAATCCCAGGAGACCATATTTGGTACCAGAAATTAAACCAGATATTGTCTGCAGGACGAGAACAGTGCAGTCTTCTGACCCCGCGCCTGGCTGTTCCTCGCCGGGGCCCCTTGGAGGGGAGCAGGTTGAGCTTTCCTCCCCGCCCCGACCAGGGCTCCGGCAGCCGAAGACCTCCAGGACCAGCCACCACCATGCTGAGACCACTCTCCGCACACATGAAGGTACTGGCAGAGGGACAAAGCCACGTGGGTTCCAGGGCCGAGATCTCCAAGCCTACTCGGATTGAAGTCGAGCATCCTCCACCCAGATCCTCCAAATTCCAGTAGGCGGGGGCCACACCCACCAACTGGCCCCCTGGCGCCTTGTAATCCCATCAGCGGCCAAGACTCTGAGACTATAAAAACCAGCTCCTGGAACCGCGCGGCCGCATTTGCGGCTGCGTGACATCTTATTATGACATCTCATTCCTACTTTGACATTCCTCATTCCCACACGGCAGAGTCTGGCAAACTCCCCGTGGCATACCCAATATGCCAAATACCAGTAACAATGTTGGGTCTCATTCTCCTAAAGAGCCTTGAATATAATCTCAGGTCTAGGATGAAGGAGACGTTACTGGGGACCTGCTCGAGGCAATCGACGAATAACAGGATAATCTGTGATCTGTGATTGCCTGCAGGCAAGGCAATAACCCCTGTACTTCTCTCTCTGCACCCACATACGGTCTCTATTAACTTCCAGCAACAAAACCATAATGATAAAATGCTTGGGAGTATTTTTTTTCTTTCTTTTCTTTCTTTTTAAAATTTCTTTTTATTGAATCACCGTGAGATAATGTTTGGGAGTATCAAAGGTCTAGGAGGTCAAACAATTATCGTCCTGGTTATGAGTGTTCCATTCAAAACATAGCCAAATCACAATAAATGTATATTACATGCTTATGATAAGGGCACAGTTGTAGGAAGAATAGGAAAGAAATATTAAAAAAACAAGACAAGAGCCATTGTTACATAACAATTTATAATGTTCTTGGGGGGAAAAGAGCAACATATAAAATGGTAAAATAACAAAATAATGAATATAAACTGACTGGGACCATGGATATATTATATTTATACTTATACATATCAATATTTTATCTTATATTGATGGTATGGATTAGAATAAAAGGATAGTACTATATCAAAGGGCGAGCTTTCTGAGTGTTAGAGGACTCAAGAAGTGTTTTATAAAGAAGCAGGTTTTCGAGAAAGTCCTATAAAATGAATAGAATTAAGGTGGACAGAGAGAGGGCATTTCAGGACAAATTCTAGAAGAGGCTTATCTGAACTGCAAGGATGAAATATAGTCCTTTCAATATTCTTTTGGTAAACTACCTGACAAATGAAAATATTCTGCCCTCTCAGAAGCCAAAATTACAATTTCACACCCCAAAACAAGCTCCTTCATGCCATGACAGGCTACATTAACTTCCCATGTCTATAGGCAAGAATGTCGGCCCGACTAAAAGTTATAAATGAAGTTTTATAAATCTGAGATTGACTGCACATCCACATACAGTGCCAATTATGCTAACACTAAAGACTTATTCTTGGCATTATCACTTCAAAGACAAAAGTAGAAGCTTACCTCTGCAGTTTTCTGAGTAGTTGTAAGTTTAAAGCATTCTTTTTCTAAGATATCCAGCTTTTCAAGTTTTGCTTGCAGCTTCAATTGATCTTGTTCTTTTTCCCTTTGAAGATGGGCCTGGAAAGGATAAAAACAAAACCTGAATTTAACAAATGATGCCAATGGCTCAAGAGTAATATACTTTCTAAGAATTAAAAGCACAATCATAATTTGCCATGTAAAACATGTATATACATGTCATCCTATAGTGGCTTACAAGAAAGGAAAAAAATACTTTAAAAAAGCATATAAGTTGAATAAAAAGCAGATATAATATCAAAAAAATATGAGCTACATTATTATCACTGAAACAAAGACTTTTCTATGAATCTTGGTATTTTTGCTTGGTATTTACTAAGAAATGACCTATTTTCACTAAGAAATTACTTGGTAGTTCTACATTTTTAAGAAAATGCCAGCAACAGAACCTGTATGGCTGATTCTAATTGTAAATATTTACTTTTGCTCTAACTAGAGAAGCAGCTATCGGGAATGGTACAAATAGAGAACATGGAGAAAAGAAAAGTTACATACACATATATGCACATCTGTGTACTATTTCATAAAGGTATTTACATCCACACTAATACACAGTGATAATAATAGGGGTAGTTAAAGGGGGTAGTGGGTGTGTGAAAACTCTCTATATTATCTGTTCAATTTTTTTTCTTCCTCCACTTTTCCATTTCTTCATCTCTCTGCTGTTGTTGTGATGATCAGGAATCACACATAAGCTTGGCTTTGGTCCTAGCATATTTTTTAGTTGTGTTCACCAGATGTCACTCAGCACGTTGTGGAGTCTGCATACTTGCATAGGGAGGGTCACATCCCAACCTATTCTAAGAGCATTCACTGTATCACTGTCATCCCGTTGTTCATCGATTTGGTCGAGTGGGCATCAATATAACGTTTCCATTCGTCCTTGATACGTGCTAGTGTAGCCCGATGGCATGTTGGGGGTTCTTTCAGGGTCAGGGGAATGAGGACCATCATTGTTACTGTTTCTGGCATATCGAGTATGCTACGGGTAGCTTGCCAAACTCTGCCATGTGAGTGGGATACTCTCTATAGCTTGCTGGGCTCTCCGAGAGTGATAGGGGCTTTTGGGGCAGCCTCTAATCACCTTTACAGGTGTTCCCAGTCAGGCATTTATGCAGGCAGCATACTCTCAGTAGCCTAAGAGCATTAAGGACATAAAATTCTTATAAACTTCACTAAAGATATGCAAGACTCCTCATTATAAACTATAAACCACATAAGGAGAAAGTAATGAAGAACGACCTAAATAGAGAAATATCACATTCATGAATAAAAGATTCAGTACTTTCAAGATATCAAAATTTCCCCCAAATATTGATATAAAAATATTCCAATAAAAACCACAGCAGGGGGGCTGGTAAGACTGTACAGGAGTTAAGGCATGGTGCCAAACTGGGTTTAATCCCTGGCACCACATCACATATGGTCCCTGAACACAGCCAGGAGTGGCCTCTGAGCACAAGCCAGAAGTAAGGCCTGAGCACAGCTGGGTGTGGTCCAAAAACCAAACCAAACAAACAAAAATCCTCAGCAGATTTATTTGTAAAGAATGTCATCCTGGTCACAAAATTTATATAAAAATACAAAAATTTATATAGCTATATAATAATCACAGTAAAGGTAAAGGTAAAGGTCCTCCCGTTGTTCGTCGATTTGCTCAAGCGGGCCCAGTAACGTCTCCGTTGGAGACTTTGTTGTTACTGTGTTTGGCATATCAAATACGTCACGGGGAGCTTGCCAGGCTCTGCCGTACGGGCGAGATACTCTCGGTAGCTTGCCGGGCTCTCCGAGAGGGGCGGAGGAATTGAACTTGGGTCAGCCATGTTGGCTGCATGCAAGGCAAACGCCCTACTGCTCATTTCAAAAAGAATAAAGTTGAAAGAGTCACGTCACCAGATCTCAAGACTTTTTTTATAGCATGATTTCTGGCATAAGGATAGACCAATAGGGGCTAAAAGAGAGTATAAAGGCTAAGGTACTGGACTTCTACACAGCTAACACTGGTCAAATTAAGAAGTTGCTGTACCTCAAAGGAAATGAAGACAAGAATACAAAGACAGCCCACAGACTGGAGGAAGTTATTTGCCCACCACTCATCAATACATAGTTATTTTCCCCCTGAATGTAATCTTTCTGTTGGGAGATTCTTCTAAGATTTTATTCATTTTTAATTATTTTATAATAGGACTTAGGGTGTAGATTTTTAATTTTTCTTTTGGCTTGGTTTTATGTATTTTTGAATTATGGTATACATCTAAAAAATACTTATAGAGCGGCTGGAGTAAAAGTACTTGTCTTGGATGTGGTTGACCTGGGTTCAATCCCCAGCATCTCAAAGAGTCCCTTAGCACTGCCATGAGTGATCCCTGAGTGAAGAGCCAGAAGTAAGTTCTGAACACCACTGGGTGTGACCCTTAAACCAAAACTATATATTTCTAGAAAAATTTCAATCATTATCTCTTCAAAGGTATTCACTTTCTCATCTCTCTTTTTGAAACTTAATTTACACATCGGGCTGGAGCCATAACAAAGTGGTAGGGTGTTTGCCTTGCATGCAGCCAACATGGCCGACCCGAGTTCGATTCCTCCGCCCCTCTCAGAGAGCCCGGCAAGCTACCGAGAGTATCTCGCCTACATGACAGAGCCTGGCAGGCTACCCGTGATGTATTCGATATGCCAAACACAGTAACAACAAAGTCTCCAATGGAGACGTTACTGGGCCCGCTTGAGCAAATCGATGAACAACGGGAGGACAGTGACGGTGAATTTACACATCAGCTTGATCTCACTCTAACTTATGCCTCTGATATCTTTTTTCTTTAGTGGGGTTGGGGGAGGGGGAACACCTGGCATCCTCAGGGCTTAGTTCTGAGCTCAAGGATCACTCCTGGCAAGGCTCAGGGGACCACATGGGATGCCAGGGAAGGAACCCGAGTTACCTGCTATACTATTGCTCCTGCTTCCTATTGATCTATTTTTTTGAGTTTATTACCATTTCACTTCTTCATTGATATGGATTGTTGTACCTCCAATATTACAAAGTATCTTTTCTAATCTGCTTTTAGTCCCATCCACTGAGTTCTAAATTTCATTATTATATTTTCAAGTTCTGTATTTTCATTTGGCTCTTTCTCTGATCTGCACTGACACTTTGTTGTCCAAGGCTCTCAGAAAAATTTAAATCTTGTCTTTTTATCTCCTTGAGTATAGCAAAATAACTATTTTTAAAGTCTGTTTTTGTTAGAGCTAGCACTAGCCAGACTAACCTTGTAACAGTGATTACATGTCTGCTATGCATACTATTTCTTAAAGGATCAGATCCTATAGCATGGTTAACTTTGGTTAAAAATTTCTCACTATGTTGAAGAAATGTTTATAGAAATAAATAAACATTAGCAATCCAGGATTACATTAATCCAGCTCCAGGGACTATGATTTTTTTGTTCACTCTGAGAGTCTAATAGCAGAGTGTTCGTATAGGTTTTGTTCCCTGTTCTCTCTTAAAGGGCATTCCAGAGCACAGCAGAGATGTATCAGGATCCTATTATTAGATCCAACTTTAATTTCCTTAGGTCCATAAGGAAGAGAATCAAAACCACTATATAGCCTCTCTATCAAATTCTTTGGAATTACACAGCATGAGTTTTCATTACTTTGTCAATTCTCCAAAGTCTTTGCATATTTTTCTCTCTCTCTTACTCTCTATATTCCAATTTTAAATTGGTGGTTTTTTCATCACTTTGCTAATACTCAAATGTTTGTTTATTGTGTTAATTTTCTTTTCTTTTCTTTTCTTTTTAATGTAGGAATACTGCTATTATTCAGTCTCTAGCTTAGCTGATTGAATTGGGCATGAACTCCACCTTACTTTTTTTTTTTTTTATAATTTTATCTATTGAATCACCGTGAAAGCAGTTACAAAGCTTTCAGGTTTAAGTCTCGGTCATACAATGAAACACCCGTACCTTCACCAGTGCCCATTCTCCACCACCAAAACCCCCAGTATACCCCCGTCCCACACCCTCCCCCTACCTCTGGAGCAGATGATTTCCACATTACTCTCTCTACTTTGATTCCATTCAATATTTTGACACCAGACCCACCATTATTATTTGGGATTTTACCCCCAACACTCAGATCTGCTGAAAAGGCAACAGTAGACAATTTGTTTTCTATTGCTAATTATAAATAACATATTGTGTCGTGTGGCTGCAGTAGTGGCTGTGAGATTTTGGAATTCTGAAGTTTTAACAATTAAATCTGGAGGGATTTCTGCCAAAACCTGCTGGGTTCTGAGATTTGTTCCTAAGTCTCTTGGATCATGGCTGTTAAGCAGCTTGATCAGGAGCCAGAAAGGCCGTTCATGGGTGGCGACTCGGGGTCTTGTTGGGATGAGGAGGAAAGGGCCAGCTCCACCCACATCCCGAGAGTCCTGCGTGTCTCATCACTGCAGGCCCAAGCCTGACTGTCCAGTGGCATCTGGAGGATGACGTACAACAAGCCGCCAAGGGGGAGTTGGTGGAGGGACAGCACCCTTTCCCCCCTGGGGTGGCCTGGTGACAGTAACCTACTGCGGGGTCTGGATACATTTCTGCCAAAAGCCGCTGGGTTTTGAGATTTGTTTCTGAGTCTCTGGCCGTTAAGCAGCGTGAGAGGCAGAGAGCCAGAGAGGCCGTTCGTTGGCAGCGACTCGGGGTCTTGTTGGGGTGGGGAGGAAAGCGCTGGCCTCCCTCCTCCCCCCGCCCCACTTCTCGTGAGGCCCTGCGTGTCTCATCACTGCGGGCCCAAACCTGACTGTCCAGTGGCCTCTGGAGGATGACGGCCGCCGAGCCGCCAGGGGGAACAGGCCAAGGCACGAAACCTGTTCCCACCTGGGGTGGCCTGGCACTGGTAACCTACTGCAGGGACCAGACACATTTCTGCCAAAAACCGTTGGGTTTCGAGATTTGTTTCTGAGTATCTGGGACCATGGCCATTAAGCAGTTCGATCAGGAACCAAAGAGGCCATGCCTCCAAGTATATAGCTGAGCCGGAGGTGGTTTGTGGGTGTGTTTCCCACATACCTAACTTTTACTTTCTTGGTAAACTTTGCCCCCAAGTTTTTGGGGTCTGGCCAAAGGCACAGCAGCAATTTTGAGGTATCTGCATCATCTGCTGATGCACTCGCCTCACAGGTAGAGACTGACCTGCTGGCGGCACCATACCCCCAGTATATTGTGTTAATTTTCAAGTATAGTTTTTTCTATTTCCTTCCATCCTTCATTTCCCTCTTGCTTTCATCTTTTGTCCATACATCCCTGTTTTCCTCTAAAGAAAAGTAATGATCAAGTGACTGAGTCTGCATTATCTTAACTGGATATCTCCAGTACATAGCTATATAACTTATTTAAGATTAGGAAAATTTTCCCATCTTAAAATACTCTTCAAAACATATTCCTTACAGTAAATATGCCCACCTGTTGTTCTAGGATCATATTTTTCTCTCGCTCGACATTAAGAACCATTCTCTTCGTATATTCTAGTTGCTTCTCTAGAAGAATACAACGAGACTGGGCTGAGCTTAATTGTACACTTATATCTATGAGAAAAGGAAAAATGATAAATCAATTTATTGATTACCACATAGATCAAGGATTTGATTATCAGAACAAATGCATTATGTGAATTCAACTTAGAACTGAAAGTTCAAGACTTTTTAGTTCTAAGTATTGACTCTCCTAGAATTATGAATATACATTTTTGTATATATATCATAAATTGTATATAACTGGTTTAATCTCTTGTCCCCTAAAGACCCAGAGAGTATATATCTGAAGGGAGAAGATATTGATAACTTGTACAATGACACAAATTTTGGCAGGGCCAGGAATGTAGCTCAGTAGTAGAGCACTTGCCTTGCATGTGTTAGATCCTGTTCAATTCCTGGCACCAGAAACAAACAAAACAGTAAAAGTCCTGAATGGTCCTGGGAAATGAAGCTATTTATAAATGGAGGACTGGAAGTCTCTTTCCTATAGGATATACAAATCAAAACAACAGTGAGATATCATTTCACACCAGTGAGAGTGGCATATATCAACAAGACTAGAAACAACTGGTGTTGGTGTTTTTGTGGTGAAAAGGAAGCCTCTTGCACTGTTGGTAGGAATGTCATTTAGTTCAACCACTATGGAAAAAGTATGTAGAGATCTCAACAATGTAAGAATAGAACTCCATATGACTTAGGGAGTCTACTTCTTGGCATCTACCCCCAAAACACAAAAACATTAACTTGAAAAGATATATGCACACCTATGTTCATTGCAGTGCTAAACACAATAGTCAGAACATGGAAACCACTCAAATATCTAACAACAAATGAATGAATAAAGAAGTTGTGGTATGTACACAAAATTAACTAATATGCAGATATAAGAACAATAAAATCTTGCAGTTTGCTACAATCTGAAGAGAACTGGAAGTCATTATGTTAAGAAGAACAAATTTTAGGTTAGCTTATTCATCTGTGATAGAGAACAAAAACAAGAAAATAAAATTAATGGTGACAACAGCAAGCAGTGGGGATAAGGGGGGAAGGAAGAGGTGAAACAGAAATGACATAAGGATAGTGGTGGATAGTTTGGGGCACTTCATCAGTGGGAAGGGTGAAGTAACTGTACTATAAACATTAGTGCTATTGTAAACTACATAATTTAAACTATATATACATAAATATTTATTTTTTAAAGTCTCTTTTCTTTCGATGCATATTTTTACCATTTTAGGAAACTCAATATAAATATATATTCTACCATTTTCCTTTGTTCTTGACCACTGACAGCACAGCTAATTCTGTAAAGTGTAAGTAACTGCTTTCTAATCTTTCATTTTTATTTTCCTGAGCCCTTTCTTTACTTTTGCCCAACTACCCGAGAAAATTTTTTTCTCCCATTTCTTTATTCTATTTATATGCTGAGGACCTGGAGCAATTGTACAGCAGGTAGGGTTCCTGCCTTGCACAGAGTCCAATGGGGTTTGATCACAGGAACCTCCCAGAAGTGATCCCTCCTCAGTGCAGAGCTAGGAGTGAGCCCTGAGCAGCGCTGGGTGTGCCCCCCAAAAAGGGCTTTTACCATTCTATTTATATTTAAAAGTTGGAACACAAACTAGAACCTTGTTCATAACGGTGAATTTAGTGTTTAAAAAAAAAAAAAACCGTCAGGGACCAGGGCAATAGTATAGTGGTAAACATTTCCTTTGCATATGGTCAACCTGAAATCAATCCCCAGCACTCCATATCACTCCCTGAGCCCACCAGGAATGATTTCTGAGCACACTGCCAAGAGAAGACCTGAACAAAGCTAGATGTGTCCCCAAATTAACAACTCCCCAAAAAGTTATATGGACGGAAGTTAAATTATATACAGAAATCATGTACTAAATCTCTAAAACTTGGGCCCAGATATTTACTTCAAACTTTCCATAGAAAAAAGAAAATAAAATTAAACAAGTTTCACAGAAAACTCTACCTTCTTGTTTCTTTCCTCTAATTAACCTCTCAAGTTAAATAGAAAGTTTTAAATAATTTATAGTTTTTATATTAATTACTAGTGTTTATTATATTTCAAATCTTAAAAACACTGGAAATATAAGGTATTTCAATTAGATTATGGGTTAAACAGAATTTGTGTTCTGGAAATTTTCTAATTTCTAAACAGAAATCATCTAAAAATGTAACATTTTAAAAAATCTCAATTATGTTTCTGGAAGTACAATAATTTTATTTTCAAGAAGTCTAATTAGAGAAATGTGAAGGAAGGAAAAGAGGAAAACAGAGAGAGAGAGAGAGAGAGGTGCTCAAGAGTGAACATTAACTTGTCTGAAAGAAAAATAGTCAATCTCAGAAAATTCTGAAAAAAAAAAAACATAATAGAGGAAAGTCAGGGTTACATCAGTTTCTGCAAATATCAAAATATCTGAGAACAGACCTCAAGTTTTGAATGTCTGTAAGACAACATTTGAATAAGTCTTCTTAGTCTAGGCTAGTTGAACTTTCAAAATGCAATCTTTGGTAACAACCAGGTTTTGGAGAACTGTTGAATTTTCTTACTTTTTTTCTGCTTTATCAGTTCCTGATATGCCAGATTTCTCTCATTTGTTTCATTCTCTAAGGCCTTTTTATACTGTGCTGCTTCTCTGGAAAGACTGTTCAAGTTATCTTCAGCTTGGGTTCTTTCTAACTCCAAACGATGAATTTTTTCTTGAAGAGTTTTTAAGGCTAAGATAAGAGCTGTTGGAAAAAAAAAGTTTTGCTTGCTATTTTAAATAAGAATCTTGAACACTTATAGTATCATATAAAAGTCAGGGAAATGCACATATAATATTTATTTCATAAAAATAAAAAATGACTGAAACTCCAGAGATACATTTTTTCTAACACATCTTGTTAAAAAAATGTTCATGACTGCATTTGATTATTTTTTATATTTGAGAAAGCAAAAATTTTAAAGATAATGAAGAGTTTGGGAACTGTGAAGATCTGAGTATTAATAAAGAAAATTAAAAAGGGAGATTAGAGAAATAGCTCTGTATCTAGAACACTTGCATGTAAGGTTGCCAAGTATAATCCCTGGTATCCCTCCCACTGAGAAAATCCTCAGAACTCTTGTTTAAAAACTGGCAGCTCTAGCCTCTATGACTCCCATTCCACAAGTGTTTTCCCACCATACCACAGACTACAATGAAGGGGTATGAGCCCCAGTGAGCACTAGCACCATGGCCAGGAAGTGTGACTCTGGGTGGGTAGGTGTGAGCTCTGCAGTGATTCTTCAGAAAGCAATACAACCACAATACAACTAAAAGTGTGCATGCTCCAGTGAGCACATGTCCAACCACCACAACTAAAGGTGTCAGTGGTTACCAGAGTCTGGTGTGTGAGCACAACCTGATGTGACTTCTGATAAGCACCAAAGCCAGGTATGTGGGAGACCTAGGTCACTGCAACAATAGGTAAGGTAAGGCAGGAAGGAATAAAAGCAAGTGGCGACTTAGTGTAAAAGTTACAAGTACAAAAATTAGGGGAAAAAATTAAAACAAAGTATTCACTGACTAACGTAGAAATTTAGATGAAATTTAGACATTTTTCTCAATTGCTGATGTGCTTGATTTTAGTCAAGATAACAAATGATAGCTGCTGCCTTTGTCCAAGATAATCAGGACATATGAAGGAGAACATAATTTCTGCTATTGAAAAAAAATCATAAAGTAGTGGTTTACATGAAGATTAAAAGATTCTAAGTAGTTGACTTGTATTATTATTATTTTACTCAGTTCTATGAATAGCTTTATTAGTTGGATAAGTTCAGAATTATAAAAATTTCAAATCTCCCGTACTTTCTATTGTGTTAATACTTCAAACTGTAAAACTAGAGAGGAATAAAACAAATTAATATCAAATCTAATTTATATAGTTCACTTCCAATTAGATGGATGTTTGCTAGTAATGTTCATTGTTTTTTTACAAATAAAATAAATTAGGTTTATTGTGCTTTACATAGTACATACAGCTGGCCCTCTAATTTACATGATTATTTCTTGTAGTTGTTCTAATCTACAAGGCAATCATTTATTATACTATATACACACACACACACACACACACACACACACACACACACATATATTTTAAAGGGACAGAGCAACAGTACAGTGGGTAAGGAACTTGCTTTGCAAGTGGTACTCCCAGGTTCAACCCCTAGTACCACATACGTTTTCCCTGAACAGTGCCAGGATTGACCCGAATTGAGGACTAGGAGTAAGCCTTGAGCACTGTTGTGTGTGACCTAAAACAAAATAAAACCAGAACTTTTTAAAAATGGGGGTATAATCAGAACACTGGAGAGTAATTTGAATAGCAAAGGATATGTTCGACTTTACAAAATATTCTTCTAACTCAATTTTAAAATTTTCCTAAGTTTGTATTTTAAATGTTGTAATACGTCTTGCAGTTGCTTCAATACACTGGTATATATTAATGGGCAGTAACTCTGAACACATGGAATTTCTGAATTTAAAACTTAAATAACTACAACTCTATTTAACTCACTATCATCTTAATCATATTGCAAAAGGACTGCAAATGTGATTTATTCCTCAGAGTATTTTTCTGTTTTCTTGTGATTTTTTTTTGGGGGGGGCGGGCATTGAAGGATAGAGGGCCACATCCAGTGTCCCTCTGGGTTTATTCCTTCTTTGTGCTTAGGGATCACTCCTAGCAGTGACAGGGACCATATATGGTACTTGGGATCCAACTGGGGTCACATCTATGCAAGGCAAGTGTATTATCGCTCTGACAAGATAATGATGTTTTTAATGATAAACTTGTGATATATGTCTATCTGGTTATGTTAATCATCATTTGATAGTTTTAAAAGATAACATTTTAAAAGTTAAAATAATTTGTCTAAGTTTATAGAAGCCTTTAATTAGCAACAGAACCAAAATGAGTAGTTTTATTAAGATTAGTTCAATGTTTACTTTTCTATATAAAAATTAAAATATTTTATATAACATTCTGTATAATTCTCCAAATTATTACTTTATGTTAGGATTACCTTGTCGATTTGGACTATGAAGTACTCTAGGAGAGGTAATTTCTAAGTTCATAGACTGGTGATTCTGTGATGATTCATCATTCTGAGTAAATGATGGAACAAACACTCTTTCTGGAGGTTTAAGATAGCTTCCCAATATACTATTCATTAATTCAGAATCCATTATCTGTAGAGAATAAAGAAATGATATTGTAGAGTGTCATTATTTCCTACTGAATGCCCAAACCAACAAATTCAGGTGAAACTTTAACATAATCATACACTGTTGAGTTATATGTTTATGAGCTTAATTATTACAAATTCTATTATAAGCCCCGTAAGAAAACAGAAAATGGTGACTTAGTGTAATAATAGCATGAGTGATTCTGCATGTTTTTTCAATGAATATATGTCCTAGCATGGGCATGTGAAACTACTTTCTCAGTTGACTATGAGTGCCCAGGTCTCTCACTTTCTGAGCACCTCTCCAACAATGCATCTCCAGGGTACAGAGAAATGCCTGTCCTCTAAAAGTATTCTCTTTAACAGTGGGTAGGGCATTTGCCTTGCATGCAGCCAACCCTGGTTCGATTCCTCCACCCAACTCGGAGAGCCCGGCAAGCTACCGAGAGTATCCCACTAGCATGGCAGAGCCTAGCAAGCTCCCTGTGGTGTACTCTATACGCCAAAAACAGTAACAAAAAGTCTCACAATGGAGACGTTACTGATGCTCGTTTGAGCAAATCGATGAACAATGGGAGGACAGTGCTACAGTGCTAATATTTCAATGTCATAAAAGGCAATGACATTTCTGGCCTTTAAAATACAAAAGTTCATTGAAAGCAGGGTCTTCAAAAGTATACTCATGTGCAAAACAGAATTGTTCAAATTTGTAAAAAGGTGGCAATAACACAATGTCCATCATTGGATGAACAGATAAACAAAATGTGGTAAAAACACTAAAAAGGAACTTCCTTTCCTTTCTCTCTCTTTTTATTTATATGTGTGTTGGAGGGGAGGGGAATGCAAGGCAACACACTAAGCAGTGTGCAGGGGCTGCTCCTGGCAGTGTGAAGGAAACACACAAACCCAGGGCTTCTGCAGGCAAAATATGTACTCCAGCCCTATGTGTCATCTCCAAGACCCAAAATGTGATCAATATATAAGTGAAATGTTATTTGATCTTAAAATAGAACAAATGCTACAAGAGATCAAAGTTGTCAATATCATACTAGGTCATTCAGACAAAAGACAAAACCTGCATAGTCGTAATGGGGAGAGGGAAAAGGGGGGAATTATAGTTTCAGTTCAGAATATTGGCTGCAAAACAATGTAGGAGAGGAAAAAAAACAAGTTTAAAAGAAAGTATGGATTCACCAAGACCAGGTTTATAAAAAAATATATAGAAAGTCACGGATCAACCACAGAGGGGTTGTCTTTTTTCCCTAATCAATGGAGAAACAAGCAAAGTCATAAATAATCTGGAATTAAAGTTAACTTTCAAAGAGGAGTTTAGATAAATATAGCAGAGTGAACATATGCACTGACTTTTGCTCCTTCTTGGAAACCCACCAACATATGAAAATGATTTTTGTAAACTGGGAAAACAGCCAAACAAATAACAGATTTGGCTAATGCAGAAAGACAACCTACTTACCCAACTAACAAAAGTGAATTTAAAATTTATCTTGTAGGGACCGGGGAGATAATAAAGCGAGTAAGATGTTTGCCTTGCAAGAAACCAACCAACCTGAGTTTTGTTACCTTGCTGTCTCCTGAGCACTGCTGGCAGGAGTGATTCCTGAGTGCAGAGCCAAGAGTAACCTCTATGCATTGCAGAGTGAGACCCAACAACAACAACACAACAACAACAACAACAATAGCAACAACAACAATTTATTTCGTAGACCCTCTGAATGACTCAGAAACTACTAAAACCTCTATTAAGAGTAGTTTATATAGGGTTAAAAAAAAACTACAGAGAAGGTTTAAAATTTTAGAAATAAATTATATTCCTGAATCCCCTTCACCTCTCCATACAGCTCCATACAGGAAGTGAAGACTGCTTCACTTCCATCTGGGAAGAGGACTGGAAGTTCTGTTGTTTTTTTTTTTTCTGCAAAGAGAACCAATTAGAGTTATTTCTGGACTGGGGGACAAATTGGCACAATGGACCGGAGTACAGACTGAAAGCAGGAAGAGCTAGTTCCCTCTGTGGTGGAAGTCTATATATCCCAATGGAAGCAGGAAGATCCTCATCAAGGGAATATGACTAGCTCAAATTACAAAAGATATTAAAAATAATAAAACAAAGTGCATGGATTTGGAGTTTCTAAGCACTTTATCAGTGCCTCTCGCTTAAAAATAAAATTCTTGGCACATACACTGCCCGAGCACATGTGCTGCTTGTGCACACGTGGCCGAACACATGTGGTGCTCAAGCATATATGTCACCGGCATCTCCCCTCTTGAATGTGTACTTTCATGTCTAATGCTAAGATGTGTGTAGGGGTTCTTTCTCCACTCTTGGAGAAGCCCACGTTCTCTCTTGAGTGTGTTACTCTATCACTCTTTCCCCCCGTCTACACCTTCAAAAACCCTCCAAATAAAATATGTTCTACTACACACACACACACACACACACACACACACACACACACACACACATGCTTAATCAGGGTCTACTGTACATCAATAAAAGTTATGAAAAATGGACCAAAATAACATAGGTTTTAACCTGAACAGAAAATCTGAAATACATTAGTGGAGACAAAATGTTAGAATAATCTTGATGATTATTAAGGAAAATGATATTCTCTAATGAATTTGGTGACACAGAGTAAATAATGTTGGCAGTTAAGAGGCAGGCTAAGACGGTATGTGACAAACCATAAAGGACTTTATATATCATACTAAGGAATTTGAATTTTATCCAATTCTGAATATCTTTCAGCTACTGAAAGATATGAATAGTACTAACATGATCAGGTCTGTATTATTCAGATGGCTCTGAGGTAGGCTGACTGGAGAGGGGGAAGAAATAATCAAGTAACAATTAAGGAGTTAATTAAAAAAAAAGCTTGAAATAAGACCAGAGTAGATGTGATGAGGATGAAAAATACTTATAAGATCATGAAGGAACCTAGGGAGGTTAGAGAGATTGTCAGTGTGCTTGCTTTGCACATGGCCAGTTAGGGTTTGATCCCCAGAGCAGGTCAGAAGTAACTGTTGATAACCAGGAGTAACCAGGAGTAAGCCCTGAGCACTACCCATGTGACCTCCAAATCAAAACCAAAACCAAATGAAACACAAAGAACCTAGAAACCAGCTAGATAATGTGAAATAAAGGAAAGAATTAAAAATAGTCAAAAACAGGGCTGGAGCAGTAGTACAGAGGGTATATTTGCCTTGCACTTGGCCGACCAGGGTTCCAACCAAGCATTCCATATGGTTCCTGGAGAACTGCCTGGAGTAATCCCTGAGTGATGAGCCAGAAGTGACACCTGAACATAGCTGCGTGTAGCCAAAAACCCCAAAACCAAACCTAACAAACAAACCAAAAAGCCAAAAGCTGGAGCAAGAGAGCTCAATGGGCCAGAACACATGTGCCGTCCATTCAAGAGGCCTAGGTTTGATCCGCAGCACTGCATGACTGACCCTCTAGTCACGCTGAGGAGTGACTCATGAGCTTATGAAGTAGCTCCTGAACAACACTATGTGTGGATTCAATACAATAAATACTTGTCAACTTTTCTTTCTTTTTGTTTTGTTTTTGGGTCACACCCAGCAATGCTTAGTGGTTACTCCTAGCTCTGTGCTCAGAAACTACTCTTGGAGTGCTCAGGGGACCATATGAGATGCTAGGGATTGAATCCTGGTTAACCATGTATAAGGCAAGTACATGCTGTACTGTTGCTCTGGTCCCACCAAATTTTCCTTTTTGTAAAAGATACATTAATATTTTATTAAAACGGTAAGTACTGGGCTGGAGCAATAGCACAGCGGGTAGGGCGTATGCCTTGCACATGGCCAACCCTGGTTCGATTTCCAGCATCCCATATGGTCCCCCAAGCACCTCCAGATGTAATTCCTGAGTGCAAGACCCAGGAGTAGCCCCTGTGCGTCTCTGGGTGTGACCCAAAAACCAAAAACCAATAAATAAATTAATTAATTAAATTAAATAAAACAGTAAGTACTAAAATAAAATATACTTTCTATTGCTGGTTTAATTAATCAGTAGAGATAGGGAAACTTGAAACAAATATTTCCTTTGTTTTTTGGGGGATGAGGGAATGCCTATCTGGCGTGTTCCGGAACTACTCCTGGCTCAGTGCTCAGGGGTGACTTCTGGTGATGTTCAGGAAACCATATGTGATACCAGTGATAAAACTTAAATACTGGAACCATTGAGCTAACCCTCCAAACTCTAGACTCCCGACTTTTTTTACATAGACAACTGGAGAGGTGGTAGTAGAATTAATGGAAATAAATATTAATTTAAAAAGACATACAAATATGATGAAAAATGATAATTCTTTTAGATTAACTGTGCTGAATCTAGAGCTAGGATTTGGTTCTCAGATCAAGCAAGAAGAGTGCAGAGATTTAATTAGCACTTTTCAGTGTCCAAGTCTGGAAAGGAGTGTCTGGGATTCAATGCCTTTTTCTGTTAGAGAGATTATTATCTATCCATTGTGGTGCCCCAAAACAAGTTGCGGCAAATTTTTAAAAGGCCAAGAATGACAGATTTACTTTGATCCCCAAGCATCCAAAGAGACATGAGAGAAAGGAAGAGCGTGAGAGAGTGCACATACAAAGAGTAGAATTCAGACTGTTGAAGACTGCTAATATTTAGGGGGCCAGTAAAGGAAGAAAAAAACCCTTCCTCCTCTGGTGAAGTTAGAGAGAAAAAATTATGAGTGGGGAAACAGAAGAAAAATATAACAAAGTAGAGCCTGAATAAGTAGTTATTTATTATCTATGGTCTATAATGCTATGCCCTGTCAAAATATAAAATAAGGTGTAGGTCTTTGCTATCAAAGTCTGAGATTTCATTGAAAGAAAGACCAAAATAAAACACTGAAAGGAGATGGAGGGGATGAAACACTGGGGATGAGTCAGTAACATACCTAGTAAAATTGGTTTGCTTATTTAATAATTAAATTTCTATTGAGTATTCTTCAAGCTCATTATCCTAAGAAAGAACATAATTATAAGAGTAAAACAGCTGTTTTTTTATGAAAGCACCAAGTAATTCCAATGCTTAAACATATTTTATGAATTATAATATAGCATATTATATAATATAGCATATGACATATAATATAGTTATATGCAGTTAATTAAAATCAATGCCATTCTGTGTCAAGTATCAAGGTATCAAGTACCAATGTAGCACTGCCCTCCCATTGTTCATCGACCAGTAACACCTCCATTGTGAGACTTGTTACTGTTTTGGGCATATCAAATACGCCATAGGGAACATGCCAGACTCTGCCGTGCAGGTGGGACACTCTTGGTAGCTTGCCAGGCTCTCTCACAGGGACAGAGGAATTGAACCCGGGCTGGCCCGGGTGCAAGGCAAACACCCTACCTGCTGTGTTATTGCTCCAGCCCAGAAGGTATCAAGTAACCAAGCCAATTTATCAATTGCTCCACTTAATAACAAGTCTTCTAAACATTTTATCTAATAAATGGAAAGCTATAAAATTTTCCATATTGAACTTGAATCCAGTTAAGCTTAAAACTTACAAAGTTTTAGATTACTAAATGATTAAACTTTCCAGCATCTTTAGCTATAGTTTGTCTTGAATATTCAGCTAATGAGGAAATACTACCAACTTTATAATAATATAAAATTCATAATTATACTCCTGTCACTGTCACTGTCCTCCCGTTGTTCACTGATTTGCTCAAGTGGGCCCAGTAACGTCTCCATCGTGAGACTTGTTGTTACTGTGTCTGGCATATTGAATACGTCACGGGGAGCTTGCCAGGCTTTGCTGTGCTGGCGAGATACTCTCAGTAGCTTGCTGGGCTCTCTGAGAGGGGTGGAGGAATCGAACTCGGGTCGGCCATGTTGGCTGTGTGCAAGGCAAACATCCTACCCGCTGTGCTATCGCTCCAGCCTTCAAAAATGACAAAACATTTTAAAAATGAAGTTAATGTATTAAAATGTTGGTAAATGGGGACAGAGAGACGGTACACAGGGGAGGATGGTTGCCTTGCACCAGGCAGATGAAGATTCAATCCCCAGCATCCAATATGGTCTCCTGAACTTGCCAGGAGTGATCCCTGAGCATAGAGCCAGAAGTAAGTCCTTAGCACTGCTGGGTATTCCCCCGCCCCCACAAAAAAACCTAATAAATGGACACAGAAATGGACAAAAAATGGTAAAATGGACAAAATCTGATAAATGGACATTTAAAAATTTCTATCTTTTTATATTCTTTATAATAACATATCTTAGTTTTATAGATATGGATATCTGTTGGGCACTTACATTTTTTCATTTCTAAGGATCTTGTATCGCCTATATCAATATACATTCAGAGAGAGCAAGTATGTTTATTTCTTCTGTTAAGTTCTTACAGTCCCAATTGCTGTGCTCTGCAAAGCCACATTGTATCCTCAGGGTCTGATCAAAACAAAAAATTGTAAAATAAATTATCTGAATTTAACTGATTAGGTAAACAACTTGTCTATTCCACATTAATGTAAGACACAACAATTCTATAAATATTGTCTTGAGTTTTACAAACATAACACACAGAACCTTGGTATATACTTCTTGGACAGAATTTTAAAATTCAGTATTATTTTAAGTAAATCATAATTCTTAAAATTTCTAAATATTATTGGTAATATTTCTTCAGAAAATTCTACTGCATAAAAAAGTACTGTAGAAAGAGATTCAGTATTCTTTCAAAGTTAAAACACTTTTCTGTTGAATTGAACCCTATTTCTAGACAATTTTTCTTTAGAGAATTTAATGGCAGATATTAATGGACCTAGTATCACATCTCCTTTATCTCTACTTACTGTCCCACCCTTTCAGGTGAGAATCTCCCTGCGGATATCTTTGGGCCTTTTTTTTCTGAATGGAAAGCATATTCCCCTCCCTTCCAGCTAGCCTCCAAAACTGACGTCTACCATATTAACAGGCCCAGCACCACATCCCCTGAAGCATGCATCTGCATGGATAACTCTACTCATCAAATTTCATGCTATTTATAGTTACACTTCCTGTCACTGGGTGAAAATGTGCAGGGAAGGAGAAGAGCAACTCCCAGTCTAATCTCTCAGAGTCTGCCAGTAGGGCCATCTATAAAGATTGACCCCGACACAGGAAGAACACAGCAAGCCCAGTGGAAAAAATGTGAAGCAGCCCACCAAGATCAATGAGCAAAATCAGTAAGATGAGGGTTCAAACAACTCTGTAATCCATGGAGAATGATTTTAGTGACACCCTGGTCACACTTCACTTGATCACTTGACTTCCCATTACTCATTGATTTGCTCGAGTGGGCACCAGTAACGTCTCCATTTGTCCCTGTCGCGTGCCAATGGTGTCTGTTCATTTTAGGAACATAAAGAGCCTCAAACCGATCATTCAGGGTCTTAATGAAGAAGTCTGACCATCTTGTAGGTGGGCGGCCATGCGGTCTTTTGACGTCTCGTGGAATCCAGTCGGTAACCGCTCTAGTCCAGCGGTCATCTCCAAATCTCATTATGTGTCCAGTCCATCTGATTTTCAATGCCTTGGCAAATGAGACAGTGTCCCTGATTCTTGACTTTCGACGGAGGTCAGAACTCCAGATTCTTTCTCTCATTTAAGTGAAATGTGATACTCCAAGCATAGCTCTTTTAATTCCTCTTTGGGATACCCGAGTAGCGTTCTCATTCTGATTTTGTAGGGCCCAGGTCTCTGAGGTATATGTTAATGCAGGAAGAACAGTGGAATTGAAGAGATATGCCTGGAGCTGGAGGTTCTTCGTCCTCTTAGCCATTTCTTCGACGCTCTTGAAGGTGTTCCAAGCTGCTCTCTTCCTTCTGTGTGACTCAGGTGCCAGGTCATTCGTCATATTAACTTCTCGACCTAGGTACACATAACTGTTGCATTCGGAGATGGTCGTTCTGTTGAGAGCGAATGGAACATCAGGAACAAGACAGTTTCTCATAAACATTGTCTTTGTGAAATTCAGCTGGAGTCCGACCTTTGCATATTCACAGTCGAAGTCAGCCAGCATTTGTGCTGCTTGGCTAATGTTTAGTGTTATTAGAACGATGTTATCAGCAAAGCAGAGGTGGTGTAGTTGGCGACCATCTATCTTCACTCCCATTTCTACCCATTCCAGTCGTCGCATGACATTCTCATGGGTGGAACTGAAGAGTTTCGGTGAAATGGTATCACCCTGCCGAACCCCTCTCTTGACACTGATGATCACTTCTTTGTAGAATGGTGAGATCCTGGTAGTGAATCTGTAATACAACTCATGGAGGATCCTGATGTATTGTTTGAATGTCCTGATTGGCTAGGACTTTATGACCACTTCCATCTCAACAGAATCAAAGGTCTTCTTTAAATCAATGAATGTTAGAAGAGCAGCATCTTGAACTCCCGAGAAACCTCATTGAGCTTGGTTATTGTGTGGATATGGTTGATCGTGCTGAATCCTTTGCGGAACCCGACTTGCTCACATGGCTGTCCTTCATCTAGTGTTCTGCCAATCCTATTCAGGATGACTCGAGTGAACAGCTTGTAGATGACAGACAACAGGCAGATTGGGCGATAGTTGCCAAAGTTGTGGATATCTCCCTTCTTGTACAGTAATACAGTCCTGCTGGTTTTCCATTGGGACGGAACCTTGCATTCAGACAGGTAGTGTGTGAAGAGCCGAGCCAGTGTATTGATGAGTACTGATGGCAGGTTCTTCAGGTGTTCAGGTCTGACCTTGTGTGGGCCAGGTGCTGTTCGTTTCTTTGCCGATGAAATGGCATGTTGGATTTTGGAAGGGAGAACGTTGGGAATGACATATCCATTCTGCGGAATTTGGTATGTGGGCAAGTGGACGTGGCTATTGAAGAGATCTGAGTAGATGTCATGAATCATCTCCATTGCCCTTCTGGAAGATGTGATAGATCCATCAGGATGTCGGAGGGCAATCATCTTGGTCTTGCAGTTGGTGAAGGACAGGTGGGCGTTATGAATGCTTTTCCCAGCTTCTGCCACATCTACCAGCACTGCTGCCCTTCTCTTTTTGAGGTCTTCCTTTATCACATCTCTGCACTGCTTTGCAAGCTCAGACGTTTGCTTGTGGTTTCCTGCAGCATGTGCCAAGCCACATTGGCGAATAAGCTCAAGAGTTTTCGAAGACAGGTGATTTTTTTGTGGCTCTCTTGGCATTCCTCAAACAATCATGTAGGTGCTGAACCAGTCGATTGTATTCCTTGTCAACGTTGTCAATGACGGCATCTTCCCATGTTGCAGCAATAGTGACAAAGAGCTCCCAGTTGGTAGTCGTTCTGGGAGTTCTCTTCTTAAACTTTGCAGCCCTTTCTTCCCACTCTGTGACATAAAATTTTGCACGAAGGAGACGGTGGTCAGATCCTGTTTGGAATTTTGGGACAACAGCGACATTGGTCAGGCAAAACCGTGAATTGAATAGGATGTGATCAATTGCATTTTGGAATTGTCCACTGGAAGACTCCCATGTCCAACGTTTAGATTCAGCCTTTTAGAACTGTGAGTTACCATGACTGGTCTTGGTCAACATGATGAACTCAGATAGTCTCTCACCCTGTTCGTTCTATTCTAGTCCATGGGTCCCAATGTGGAATTCTTCTGCTGATCTTCTCGGTCCTATCTTGGCATTAATATCACCGACAATGATCCTGTAGAAGGTGTGGTCTTCTTTATAGAACTTCTCCAGCTCCATGTAGAACTTCTCAATTTCTCCTTCATCATAATTGGATGTTGGTGCATAGACAACAGAGATAGAAACTGCCGGCACAGTGAGACACATCTATTCAAGTGTAATTGTCCGATTCGGGTTGTTAGGCATTCGAATGAATCAATGCTCATGGCCAAGTTCATGTTAACAAGGTCACCAACACCTCCGACGCCTCTTTTGTTGCATGTTCCAAGGAAGAACTGTTCCTTGGACACCATGGTAAGGATGCTTAAAGTATTCAAAGAAATAATGACTCAGGAAGTCACCAAAGCACAAGAAAATATGAGAGTAGAAATTTAAAAACAAAAACCAACATTAAAAAAACCCCACAAGGATGCCTGGAGAGAAGCAGTTTTGAGCGTCTGCCCTGCCCTCTTCACTCCTGACGCAGCGCCCATCTCATCCCAAATCCAGGTCAGCTCAGCTGCCGGCTCACGACCCGGGACCTCCATCTCTCCCTGCAGGACCCCAGGTGTCTCCCAAGATGCCTGGAGAGAAGCAGTTTTGAGCATCTGCCCTGCCCTCTTCACTCCTGACGCGGCGCCCATCTCATCACTAACCCAGGTCTCAGTAGAGGCATGGCCTCCTCACAAGTGGGCATGGCTTCAAAAGTGGGCGTGGCTTATTTCCCAGCGGGCGGCCGCTTATGCGGCCACAGGTTGTTTTCCCATACTAAGGAACCTAGTCCCCAAAGAATCTAGTTCCCAACCTACTCAGCAATATGAAGAAACAAAGAAAATCCCCACCACAAGGGGAGAACAACGAAAACAATCTAGAACATGCTGTCGATACAGCTCACCTAAGGGAACTCTCTGACATAGAATTCAGATACGAAGTCATGAAGATGTTCAATCAACTCAATAAACAGTCAGACAGACAGCCAGTAACACCACAGAAAAAATCGACAAATTACGATAAGAAATGAGAGCAGAAATGTCAAGATTAAAAGATTCCATAGATGAGATGAGAAACTCAGTTTCTTCTCTTAAAAATAGAATGACCGCAGCTGAAGAGAGAATCAGTGAGGTGGAAGATGAGCTGCACCAAGCCAACACGCAACAACAAACAGTGGCAAGGGACCTCAAAATAGCTCTACAGAGAATCAGAGTCCTAGCAGATGATTCCAAGAGGAACAACATTAGAATCATGGGACTACCTGAACCTCAGGGAAACAATCCCAACGAAAAAAACACCGTCAAACAAATCATTGCTGAAAAATTCCCAGAGCTCCACAATGCAGCCATTTAGGTTCAAGGAGCCTGAAGGGTGCCAGCTAAAAGAGACCAGAACAAAAACACTCCAAGACATATCATAGTTAGAATGATCGATGCTGCCGATAGAGGCACAATACTTCAAGCAGCAAGGGCAAAGAAGGAAATCACATACAAAGGAGTACCCCTTAGATTCAGAGCAGACCTATCAGAGGAAACCCTACAAGCCCGAAGGCAGTGGTGAGATATAGTCAAAAAACTCACTGAAATGAATGCTTCACCAAGAATACTCTATCCGGCTAAACTCTCCCTCAAAATCGAAGGAATGGTACACTATTTTCTAGATAAACAGCAGCTCAGGAACTTCATAGACTCAAAACCAAACCTAAAGCAAGGCCTAAAGGGGCTACTATAAGACAAGACAAACCCTACAACCACAACACACCCGCACAGAAAGATGACACAAAACCCCA